AAGAGAAACATTTCAAGCCTTCAATAAATTGCACCAAGGGGGGAAAATGCAAACGAGTAAAAAGTGAAAGTACCAATTTCTTAGTAAAATAAGAGTTGAAATCATGAAGCGAAGAATCGATATCTCTGGCTCTTTCAAGTGTCATTATATATATATTAGAAGATGTGAGTTAGAAATTGGCCTTTTATGGAGAGAATATATTGACAAATGATCATAATGGAAGAGAGAGCTAGCTATGATGTCCCTTGAACATGTAGCTCACGTGGTATTGGGTAGCATGATACTTTAGTCTTTGCTGCTATCCATGCGTGCCAATGGAGCTAGCACGAAATAAAGGTTATCATTGCGATGTTCGCTTTTATTCATCCACACACACATATACCACGTACACGTAAAGATGCAGAAAATATTTACTCCAAAAATTTTGTACTGCTTTTTGGGTGGGATAAAAAAAAAAAAAAACAAAACAAAACTATCAGTTGGCACAATTCTAAACCTTTATATTTTTATTAAGTTTTATAAAATTAATTTTTTTTTTGTTTTTTTTAATATGATATATTTCTAATATGATGTGATGGTTTAAAATTTCATTTAATTCTCCTATATATGGACCCTTGATTATATGACCAGTTGCTAAAGTCATCATACCAATTGCTCAGCGCGCGTTATAAGGAAAATTATTGTGGTAGAAAATTTTGTACTGGTTTTATTTTTTAAAACATCAAATTTGTAGGTAAATATGTTTCGAATTCTAAAATTATTATGTTATCTTTAGTCAGCTGTTAGGACGCTAGATTATTTTTCTACATGTTAAGTAGGTTGTATTTGAATCACAACTCAAGTTTTTGTTACGGTGTTTTTTCTCATAAAAATTCAAATTCTTTTTGTGCTACAATATTTTCTCTCACAAAAAATCACTTCTCAACTCGAATCGAAAACTCAAATCGGTGAAACGAACAAAGCCACTTGTTCATTTTTATTATTCAGAATACAATAAGCAGTGTTTTAATTGACTCCTTCCTTAGTTAGCTTTTATTAATAAGACACGATCTTTAACCGTCAGAGCATGCGATGCTCGTATTAGATTAAAAACAAATATAATATAACAAAATAGAAAGGAAAAAAAAAACACTAATGGTTCATAATTGTACTTATCATTTTTTTTTTTCTTTTCCTTACCTTATTAGAGAACTTCCCCTAATAAATATGCTCCACCACAGAAGTTTTCTCAGTTATCATTCTCCAAAAAAGAGAAAATTAGTACGTACAACAATAACTTCAAAAACAAAACAACAAGAAAGAAAAGTGTTTGTGTATTATCAATAAATACACTTTGATGTAAAAGTTTCCTCAATTTTTTCTAGAGAAAAAAAATATGTATTAACCAACAATAAGAACAATATATATAGGAGGATTTTCTGGTAGGATATAAAAATTATCCTGATAATAAAATATGATTTTTAAGGTCAGATTGTTTTATAATCATATAAGATTAAGAAAAATATGGCACTTTAACAAAATTTAATAAAAAAATAGTGTTTTAGAACTTTACCGATTGGTAAATTTGTTTTTATTCTATCAGAGAATTTTTCTAAATACAGTATTTTAGAACTCTACCTATTTGGCAGTAAGGTTTTTTTTTTTTTTTTTTTTTTTTTTTTAATTTTTTATTTATATCTCCAAATAATGTACATTTCATTTATTGTTCCTTATCATTGAATTCTCCAAATAATGTACATTTCATTTATTGTTCTTGAGAAAAGAAAAGGAAAAAGTGTAAACCAATTACTTTCAAAAAGAAAAGGAGGGGAATCAAACGTGCAGAATTAGTGGATATGCCTTACTATCAAAGTTTTTTCTTTAACCTTGTCTTGAGAAAAAAAAAAAAAATGCATTAAACAAAAATAGCAGCAATGTAGTAGCAAAGTGAATGAGCTTGGCAGCGACAATTTTTATTCTCATACGCTACTCATTTACCCATTAATTAAAATTTAAAAATATATATTATAAGACCAAATTCGGGATAACTGGTAGGGAAGCTTCCCCAACCTTGACTCGCGATTCATTTAAACCCTCACACCCGCCCCCACTTAGATATGATATTCTCTTACCTGCCTTATTACGAACTAATACCGGTGAATAAGAGTATGGGATATAATCCTTTTATACTTGTGTTTTAGATTTATTCAAAAATTATATATTTAATTTTTTATCTCATTAAATGTATACCTTCAAATTAGATTTAATACCTAAATTTATACATTTCCACAGCCAACCCTTGATTTTAACTTAAAATACCTAAAATACCATTGAATAAAAAATAAAAAAAGAAAAAAAAAACTAAAGAAACCTTAAGCTTACTGTTTTGACCTAAAAATTTATAAAATACCATTGAAATGGATTTTTTTTTGTGTGTTTTAAATTTTTATTTTGCGTTATGTTGGAAAGTTTTAGTTTCTTTTCTCTCTTTTTGGGATAGTTTTGTCATTTTAAAGGTTAAAATCAATTATTACTGAAATACGGTATAAATTCATATATTAAATTTAATTTGAATGTGTACATTTAATGTGATTAAAACTCAAAAGTATACATTTTGAATAAACCTAAAACACAGAATATAAAAATGTAAATATCCCCCAAGAATATCATCGCAATAATATAATGGAATCCTGCAGTAAAGTATGTAAAAATACCATATTCACAGTCAATACTTTTCTATAGACTTTCAACATATTCGTGTGTGTATTTACCTAGTTTACTTAAATTTATTTGTTTTTATTTTTTAGCTAACAATTAAAATGCTTAATACCAAAACTTATATGGAGAGTTGGAGTTTCGTTTTAAACAGAAATATATGTGTAAGTTTCTATCAAGTTTTGCATATTTTTATTTTATTTTATTTTAATATAACTTGATCAAATTTAATGTACATGTACTAGAATTAAATACCTCGTCCTAAAAAGTAGCTAACTTTTTCTTTGCATCACAAAAATCTCCTCTTGAAACAGAACACATTTGCTTAATCCATACTGCAAGTCCCGTCCGCATGAAAAAAAAAAAAAAAAAAAAAAAAAAAATAGTTGAAAGGCCAATTGAGGTTCAAAAGATATTTACCTGGAACGCCAATTCTTAAGGTGGTCCCCATTTATATATTATTTATTTCTTTATGGCAAACGCACACCTTTTTCATTGGGGATTGGGAACACTGACGAGGAGCGTCTGTGATGTTCTGTTAAATATGGACCTTCGGCCCGTTGTAGGGCCCACTAGTAGCCCATTATCGCCGACCTAACCGCCCAACCTTCTTTTTCTTTGGTGGCCGGTCCACTGTTGATTATATAATTATAATAGGTAATAATCCTCCTTAAAATGATTATTTAATTATAATAAGTAATTTAGATAAATACTCCTTAAAATGTATAAATTTAAATTTTTATCCTCATTCTTAATAAAAAATTAATTATTAAAAATAAAGAATAAAAATTTAGAAAATTTCTCAATTAATAAACAGCTACTTAATTTGTCTTTTCTCAGAAAATAAAAAGTTAGTAATTAATTAATTCGTTCTTTGTTAGTGCTACTAGAGAATACTACTATGTACTCAGTTGCCATACTACCCAATTTTTTTATTCTTCATTTTAAACTTTATGATGCTCGGCGAAATTTGTGACATGCCCAAATTTTTCAACGATTGGTTAATCCTGAATGATTTTTGAAGTTTACTCTTAATCGTACTTTAATTTTTAATTTTTAAAACATCTTATAATTAATTTCTAAAGTTTTATTTTATTTCAATTTTAGTCATTTTATTAGATAAGTGTTAAATATTTGACGAAATTTATATAAATTAGAGATTAAAATTAAAAATAATTAAAATTTAAGGACTATCTGTGGAAGTTTTTTTTTGTTTTTTTATTGTTTTAATTGCTAAACTTTAGATCTTTCTAATTTTGATCCTTAATTTTCATAGATTTCATCAAACATTTGACGTCTAATTAACAGAAAGACCGAAACTAACACATAGTAAAATCTCAAGAATTTATTATGGGATATTTTAAAAATTAATGACTAAAATGGGATTAAAAATAAATCTCATGCACCATTTATGAAATGAAGCGTTCCTTGATTGAATTGAAAACAAAAGTTTTTTATTTATTAAAAAAAACCCACAAAGTACAAAGTAGTATTCAAATTTCTTAGGCCCCGTTCATTTCACCGATTTGAGTTTAGAATTTGAGTTTTGATACACTAAAAAGCTCTCAGAAACAATCACATTTAACTTTTTTGCTATAGTAAAAAACTCTCACATAAAGTCACATATCAACTCAAATTAAAAACTTTAATCAACAAACTAAACGGACCCTTAAATTGGTTTATTTTAATTACTTGGACGATAGAGCAGGCATCGATAGTGTACCAACATGCAATCCGAAATTTTGATGCAATTTATGGTATTTGATTTCTCTCATTCGTTAACCTGTCAGGGCATCAAATAACCAAGTTAATTCAACCATAATTGTTCCATTCCCTCTCTTTAATATATATAAATTAGTAGTCATATAATTGAGCAATAATAAAACAGGTAATATAGGGCCAGAATCTGAAGTGGCCTAAGTTTGAGCTTATCTTTAAGAAATGATTGAGGCAGTTAGTTGAGATTTTACATATAACATCTCCTTTGTGCATTAACCTGTTGGTGTTTCTAATTTTTATCCACAAAATGGAGGGTGTTTCGGTCATTCTAGAGAGAATTAGGCTGGAACATCTAATCACGCTTTAATAAAATACCTTAAAACTTAGCATATGTCTTTTTTTTTTATTTATAAAAAGGAGGGAAAAAAAAAAAAAGAAGTCACCCTATATCACACATGACAATTTGTAGAATTCAAAAAATATTAAAAAAAAAACAAAATAATGGCCTAAAACCGCCTGCTAGTGAAAGTCAGAGTCATTCTCCTATATCAGCCTTATTCAAATTTCATCCGCTATAACATATCTAAAAAAATATATTTTTCTTTTCAAAAAAGGGCTAACTACTTCACACCAAAGAAGCACAAAACCAACAATAGTTGGGGAATCTTTTTGTTGTTTGGGTTCCAAGAATCTCCTTTTTCCACCATTGTGATTTCCACACCCAAAAAACACAAACAAAACCCAGAAGAGGAGGATTTCTTTTCTTCCTCATCTTTGAAATCCCATCTCAAAGGAAAGAAAGAAAAACCAAAAACCAACCTCCAATCTTCATTTCCTTATTTTGTACTCATCTTTTCCTTGTGGTCATTGGTTTTCTTCTTCTTCTTTCCCTTTGAATATGGTTCAAAGAAAAGTAGCTGATAAGTTTGGAATCCAAGCTGATCATTTAAGTCATGATCATATCAGCCTAAAAAAACCATCCTCTGCTCAACACCAAGATGGCAAAAACAGATTACCCGACTTAAAGAAGAAGATGATGAAGAAATCAAGATCTTTCAAGCTCTCAGATATTGGTCATCAAAGCTTGAAATCCTCAACATCTTCAGCTCTTAGAAAGAATAACATATCTCAGCCTGGAAAACCTCCTCCAACTCTAGATGTCTCAACAATACTACTCACACCAAAGAAGCAGACTCCGACGATCACGAAAACCGTCGAAAGCTCGCCGAATTACATGAAGTCCACAAGCTGTTTTGATGCCAGGAAGGAGCCACAATCATCCCAGGTTAGTCTTCGGAGAAATTCGACAAACTCGCAAGTTGTTAGCTCTTCTTCTAACAACAAAAGGCTGGCAAAAAATTCAACAAAAACGTCGAGCTCCAAGCTGGTTAGGGCTTTGATAAAAACACCCAGTTTTAAGCCCTCAAGACTGGCTTCTTCAAAAAAATCTCCAAGAGTTGCTCTTTGCACTTCTGATGATCATGTGCAAAGAGCAACATGTTCTTCAACTCTCAAGGACTCAAAGTTTCCTTCCTACCTGATGCTTAATCATGGAGGGACCGAGTCCGAGGGAACTTCGGTCATGAAGGTTTGTCCGTACACTTACTGTTCTCTCAATGGTCATCACCATGCTTCTTTGCCTCCATTGAAGCGTTTCTTGTCGGCTAGAAGACGCTCGTTGAAGAACCAGAAGAGTTTCAAACTAGCGGTACCGTTTGACAAGGCGGCCAAGGAAATTGATGAGGAAGATGACGACGAGAAAGTTGGGATGGATTTCTTTGTAGAAATCTATGCTAACAAAACTAAGGAAGATGATAAGGAAAAGACTGAATTTTTGTCCTCAAAAGGGGGAGATGAAGAAGAAGCAGAAAATTACCTTCAAGTAAAAGTTGTTGACAGCCTTTCTGTCGGGTCACCGCAGTCTGAGATCGACACAGACGAATCACCTGAACGATATTCTGAAGTTGTTTGGACAGAAACTGGAATCATAGAAAATTTTCATGAAGAGGCAAACAACTATTACGTGCCTGTTTCAGATGAAGAAGAAACGGAGGGAAGTGACTCTGATATGGAGTGGGAAAAAGCAACATTCTCGGATGTGGAGATCGAAGATGAAGCGGATAATTCAAGAAAAATGGATGATGAATCTGAACCAATTCTTGGGTTCTCACCAGATGATATTACTGAAGATGATGAGAAGGAAGCACATAAAGAGGAAAGTGCATGTTTTGAAGGAGACTTTGCGGAAGAACTGAATTTAAAGATTGAAGTATCTGGGCAAGTGCCTGACGGCTTGATGTTTGATCAACTTTCTTCCACTGAGGACGGGTTCGAGGACTTAAGCGGAAACGAAGAAAACCTCAGATTAGACGAAGAGACAGAATCTATGCACGCTTCTATGGATGCAACTTCAGAGGAGGAACAAGTTGAGGAACGAATTCAGGAGAGTGAAGAGAGAAACATGGTTTCTGAAGTAGAGAATGTGATCAATCTTACTGGGGTGATAGATGAAGATTCTAGTAACAATCCTCAAGATGATGAGACAAGTAGCCAAGTTTGTGATGCTTCCGAGGATGGGAAACAGAACAAAGAAGAGAGTTTGGAGACGGATAAACAAGTCAACAATGATGATTTTAGCTTCGAGTATTGCGACGATGCAAACGTCATCGAGGAAATCCCATCTCCCGATCCATCGCAAGCAACATCAGAAGCCAATCAAGTAGTTACAAAGGTTGAGGAGGGTAGCGCCAATATTGAAATCCTCGATCACAACGAGAAGACGCACATGACGATTTGCGACGATTCTGTGGATCACAGTGATGTAAAGCTTAATGAATCAGAAAAGGCAGCAGACAGCAAAGGTGAGATTGAAGTTACCGAAGTGGAAATTAGGACCAAGCCAGAGAAGAAACCAGAATTGTTGCGTGTAGAACATACAAGCGACGATGAAGAACTGCGCAACAAATGGAACAGAAGCAGGAGAGGAATCAAGGATTTGGAGGAGGAATCAACAAGGGACTTCAATCCACGAGAACCAAATTACCTGCCATTGGTCGCGGAACCAGAGGGAGAGAAGGTTGACTTGAAGCATCAGATGATGGACGAGCGGAAGAACTCCGAGGAATGGATGATCGATTATGCGCTACAACAGACCGTCACCAAGCTCGCCCCTGCAAAGAAGAAGAAAGTTGCCTTGCTTGTTGAAGCCTTTGAAGCTGTCACGCCAGTAACCAAATGCGAATCTCGTCGCCTCAGTCATCATCAACACCATCATCATTCACAAGCATTTCCGCAGGCGATAAGGCCTATTCAAGCTTGTAGCTGAGGCTGGTGTTGGTAAGTGGACAAAACTTTTCTGGTTATACTCATTGAAGAAAACAGTTTCCTAATGTGTTGGAATAAGAAGAGATTGTGTTTCTCATGTTCTGCAGGTGATGGCGGGGAAAAGTAAAAAGTTGAGGGGGTAAAACTTCAGGGTCCAGGAGAAACAACAACTAACTAGTTGAGGTGGAAAGGATGGAGTAATTTGCAAGAGTAATTAGTTTAATAATATATGTGCAATGACATTATGAGATTAATGTTTGAGTTCAGTTATTCTGATCTTATTATCCACAACTGTTTGTCGTTTGTATTTGTGAGGCAGCTACTTAGACCTCCCAAGTATTTGTGTTATCTACTCTACTGTATTAGCATTATGTTATGTTTATTGTTTAGTATATACGTGTCATGCAACTTCCTGGAGTTAAATTAATGTCGTTTAGGCAAGTGCTGCTATATTCTTTGATACATGAGCAACAATTTAGGCGTTTTGTACTATTAGAACCATGACAACTTTGTGCACTTTCTGAATATTTAAAAATGGTGTGGATGAAAAAGGGTTAAAAAGCATCCAACTGGAGAAGCAATTGTGCGACTTCTATTCTCTCTTACTTTTTTTTTTTTTTTTTAGCTGATCTTCTGTTTAATGTTAGTGTATTTAACCAATCACATTATACCACATTATATAAAAAAAATTTGAAATACTTTTTGACCAACTTTTAAGTGTTTTTCTATAGCTCGTAATATAATGTTGTTGGTTAGACACTAAAAATTGAATAGGGATATGCATATTTCTTCTTTTTTTTTTCCCCATTAAAAACAAGATGGTATATTGGAATTATTCCAAGTGGACGTTTGGGTGCCAAATGCCATCAGAACACAACTATATAAAGGACAAGCTCAATCTAATGAGGGACAATGAAACAATAAATTACATTTCTTTTGACAGAATAGCTGTTTATAACAATAGCAACTTCAACTGTCAAAAAAAATCATCTTTACCATGTTTCATTCCTAATTTTAGTACCACATACTAAATTACTGACGTCACAGCATAGCATAGAGCTCTATTCCCCTATGACAACTCTATTTTCATTCGAGGAGATTCAAGAAGAAGGGATTGAAGCTCTTCATAGTAACTATCTAGTTGTTTTCGGTCTGAATCTGATCGTTGCTGGTTGAGATGTCCTTCATCGGAACTAGCCTCAACATTTTCACCCTGTTCTCTAATTCTTTTAGCCACAATAGAATCATTAAACCGCTTGAGAGCATCAGTTGTTGAAAGAGAATGCGCAGATTCATACAATTTCTGAAACTCAGTTCTCTTTTCTTCCGTTTCTATCAGTTTTTCCTTCAAACCGTCTGGAAGTAAGGCCAGTGCACTTCTCATGGTAAATAATAAAAAAAAGAATTAATTATGAATTTTCTTCAAAAACAAAGAATACAGAGCTTGCTGCAAGAAATAGAGAACTAGTATATAAATATGGTTCCTCCTCTTTTTTTTTTTTTTTTTTTACCTGGTAACACCTCTAACAATCCCCCATTTGTATCCAACAGAGACTGATTGCTTAAAACCAATATTAAATCCTTCTTGGGCAGCAGCTTCTTTTCCCGCTATTACACCATCACGATATCCAATCTAATATGACAATAAGAATGGAAAAAACAAAAGTTACAATTCAGTATATACACCCTAAAAGAAACCAGAACAAGTGAAATTAACATTAGATTATCAAAGTACCGTGTGGAATTGTTCACGCCTTCGCTGCCACTCCCTGTCCAGATCAGATGATTTTTCCAATTCATGGTAAAAAGAATCATCTTCATACAAGGAATAATCCCTTTCAGAATCTGAAATAAAATGTGAACAGTGACTTTCCAATTAAAGATCAAAGCCGTTCCAAAAAGTTTATCATAAAAAATGTTAGAGAAGCTAATGTCTCAATCAATTAGTGGCATTCTTTGCTATGTTCCCCGTCAATGGAATTTGTAGCCCACTATTTAGCTAATTGTATGTTTTTGCAATCTAGTGATTTTATTTGGCTGGATGTTTTGCTATCTTTTATTGACTCTCTTGTTTAACAAAATCCTCTTTCTCTTTCCCTAAACAAACAATATATATAACAAAAGCAAATCCACAAGCATAACGTATACAATGAGTTTTAACTTTTTACGGAAAAATATTTGCAATTCACCTTAAAAGACTAAGGGCCCGTTTGTTTCATATACTCAAACTCAAATCATTGATTCTGCTACAGTGTTTTCCTCTAACAAAAAATTTGAATTTCAAACGTCAAAATCAAGAATCATGATTTGAGTATACCTTCCAAACGGACCCTAAAATACCATACCTTGAAAATCCAGAACCTTATTTTGGGCACTTGATGTTGAATCCAATGCCACGTTCGATAGCTTTAAACTTTCTGAGTAAAGCTCTTCAGCAAAACTGCCCTCCTTCATCTTTGTGCCAGAAACAAAAACCCAGTTCACAGTCTGAGCCACTAAACCAGAGACATGGACTATGACAAGGAAAAGATACTAACCAAATGGGTCCAAAACCGAAGCTTTTATATAAAACAAGAAGATTTCCCATTAGAAAGAAAGTCCTCTTACAAACTACAAGTGGCTTGCTGATACGAATGAGAAACAGGACATGAACTTAAAAGATCGCTCATTAGGGGAATTGCAATAGCAGGCCCAATCAGTTTCATCCAAAATTTTCACTAAGATCAGTGTCGGCTTAAGGGTAAAGCCAGCAAGGCAACTGTCTAAGGCCCCTCGTTATTACGAAAGTTTTAACTAATAATTTATAAAACTCTCAAAATATTGAAATTAATCATATTAACAGTTTTTTTTTTTCTTTTTTTCAATAGGGAAATGTCGGATTCAGATCATTCAAGAAAGAAAATAATACCTCAAATGTTAAGACCATTCCTCTCTCCTTGCTGTGACTTGGAAGTTGGATAGACATGTTATTTCATTGATTTTATTTCTCTTCTCTTTCCTTAGCTTCTTCTAAGAGGATATCTTATTCTCCGTTTAGTTTCTTTTTGTTTTCCTACGCTAGTTTTGTTTTTTATTTAAAAAAGAGGGGGGAAAAAAAAAACTACACACAGACACACTAAGAGAATTGTTTACTCAGGCAGGAAATAGCAAGACATTAGAGGGAAAAAGAAAGTTCAGTTGAAAAAAAAAAAAAGCCCTGAAAATGTTTAGGATGTTGGAAGTATAGGGCGGAATTCATCAACTATAGTCAAGAAAACGAATGCCAAAAATGGAGTGGAAAAGCTGACACTTGGGTGTGATGCGTATAAATTTATAAATGTTCTTTGTCTTAACCAATTGAACAACAAAAATTCAAGGGAGAAGGAAAAAAAATTTTACAAATTAAAAAAAAAATTCAGGTTGGACTTTAATTACCCATAACACATCTAGGGCTTACTCCTAGGTTGAAGCATATGCTGAATATTTGACATTGAAATTCATCTATCTAGCAACTAAATTCAAGCCTCTCAAAATATGGAGAAGTAAAGATTACGCAAAACAAATGACGGAAATTTCCATATCAGATTAAAAATTGCCCAAAAGCTACGGAAAATGTCAATTCCGCAAAGAAGGCCAGGCAATACATCAGTGCCGGCTTGAGGGTAAACAAATCAAGGCAACCCTAAATATATATTAGGAAATACCAATTCAATAAGGAAATTGGGGATTAAGATCATTCAAGAGAGGAAACAGTACCTCAAAATTGGCCTTCTAGTCGATGGGAAAGCTCGGCGGTGAAGCCCAGGAAAGAAAGCTTCCGCTGTGCTTCCGTGGAGAGACGAGAGGAAGCAGAAAGGGAAAAGAAGAAAAGAAAATGTGAAAATGGTGAGAGCGATATGGAAAAAAAGGAAGAATTAAGGGGCCAAAATACAACATTGGACAGGACAAGTTAGAGTATTGGATTAGACTATATGGGAGAAGAATATTATTGGATTTTGATTAATCCTATTTTGCGTTTGGTACGATAGGATTTAGTATTTTGATTAAATATCCAAAAATCCATAATTAAATGTCAATTGTTAAAGTTTCATTTTAGATTTATTAAACAAATCAAGAATTGATGTTAGAAGTATAATACAAAAGGTGTTCTATTTATACACCTATTTTTACTTTCCACGTCTCAATTTAAATACACACCACATATAATTTTAAAATAATTAAATTTACTTTTTATACCTTTATTATTTTTAGATTGTCCCTAGAACACTTCTTTAAACTCAGAGTCCTTTAAGTTAACATTTTATGTAATTATTTCGTTAAATATACGCACTTGACTTTTTACTTTTACAACCAAACAATTACTTTTCAACTTCAGCCTTAAACATACTCTCTTCTCTATTTATCTTTTTAAGAGTTTAGTTATTAAAATTATAAAATCTTCTTTGGTACGTCAACATATCAGTAGATTAAATTTTTTATCCGTTAAATTTATATAAATTCACGTAAAAATTAAAAAATTCACATATTTAAAAGTTATAAAAATATGACCTATCAGTACGTCTAATATCTCCTTAAAAGTATTTACTTTTCACTTATTTTAATTTTTCTCTTTTATGTCATTTATTAACAGAAGGATGAGAGTTCGACAAATTTATGTATTTTTTCCCATAATCTCTCCTCATAACTAAGAGTGAATCAGTTTTTTTTTCCCTACTTGGAGTGTACGAAAAACGTTTCGTTACCCTCCCTCTCTTTAATTTTTTTTTTTTATTTCCTAGCTTTTCTTTAAAAGTTTTACCTTTTTTAAGGTTTTGTTTCTTTTTTTTTCGCTTCTTTTTCCTGGCTTATCTTTTTTTATTACATCTTTTAACTCTTTTTCTATATGTTTTTAAATATATCCTTATTTAAATATTTTTCTTACTGTTAAAATATGATTTTTTCTTAATTACTCTGCTTAAATAATTATATAAACATTTTTTTCCTATGATACTTATAAATTCCGTGTTTAGTTGCAAAACAGATCACACAAGTTTTTTTTTTGTCTTTTTGCCCCATTCTCCACTCCAATTACTGTTTTTATTTATGTATTCTCGATTTATCTATTAGGTCATTTGCTTTGAATTTTTTTTTTGGCATTTGTCTTAATTTCTTTTATCATTTTTTTTTTTTAATAATTTTTATAACTATTATTTTAAATGAGTCACGCATGACTTTGTGCGCATTTTGACTGATAATTATAAAGAAAGCTAAATGAAGAATATATAATATCTATACATAATAAAAAGAACCAAAGGCTCTTTTCTCTCACGTTGCCGCAGGACGACATCAGCTCTTTTTTATACCCCTCTTTTTTTTTCATTTTTTCTCTTCTTATTTTTTAATCGTTATTTGGTCTTTCTTTTTTCCCCTTTCTTTTGAGACTTTCTCTTATAAGATCTTTTTATTGTTAGGGTCAATTTTTAATTATTAGATATAGTTAAAATTACATCATATTAAAACGTATGCAAAAACACATATTCTAATACAAGTCTGAACAATAAAAATAAAAAATTACTACTAGTTTATTTTTTCTGATCCTACGTTAAAAACTCATTTTTACTTTACTCCTTTTTATTTTTTTCTATTTACTTTTTAGTTTTTTCTCAAGTGCTTTGTGCTGCTGATCATTTTAACCCATTTTTACATCATCCTTTTTTAAAATATTGTTTCCCTTACTTTATTTATGTTAAAATAATCTTTTAAATATATACTTAATCTTTATTATTTTTTCTTTTTTCTAAAAGCTCATCCATAAGTTAATTCTTTTTTATCTATTATCTGCATCTAACATTTAACATATATGACAACAGTCAAGCCCTCTTTTGAACTTAGCCCTAACGAAGCCACACGTGGTCTCCTTCTCCTCCTCCTCCTTCTTAACTTTTCCTCTTTCACTCTTTTTCTTTTTTTTTTAAAATTTTTTCTTCTTTTTTTTGCTTGTTTTCTTTTTTCTTTTTCTCATAATATTCTTTGGCAATTCATTTTTTTTACAACATAATTCTTTGAAATACTTTTTCACACTTTCTTTTAAAGTTTTCCTTCCCTACTCTACTCTAGACAAGGCCACGGGTTGACTTCTTCCCTTTTTTTCTTTTTCTTTTTCTTTTTCTTACATTTACAACTTTTCTTTACTTTTTTTTTCTTTTTTAATTCTTTTTTGCCTATTTTCTTTTTGGTTTTTTTGTCAAGTGCTCTATGGTCCTTATAAACAGTTGAACTTTGTTACAACATTCTTTTGAAAATACTTTTTCTCCTTAATTTATTGTGTTAAAAACATTTTTTTTTAAATATGTCCTTACTTAATTCTTTATTATTTTTTCCTTTTTCTAAAAGCACTTCTACAACTTAATTTTTTTATCTATTATCTAATATCTAACCTCTGAATATATATATATATATATATATATATATATATAAGAATCAAGTCCCCGTTTAAACTTGGCTCCTAAAATGCCATGTGTTCGCATCATTCTTCTTCTTCTTTTTCTATTTTTAACTTTTTTTATTTTTTTTTCTTCTTTTCTTTTGTCTATTGTCATTTTTGTTTTTTCCGCTAACATTCTTTGGCATTTCATTTTTTTTACAACATCCTTCTTTAAAGTACTTTCTCTTTTTAATTGAAATAATTTCTTTCAATTATGTCCTTACTTAATTTTTTTAGTACTTTATAATTTCAATTCTTCTTTTAAAAATTTTTCTCTTTTTTCTCTTTTTAATTTTTTGATTACTTTTCCTTCTTTGCTTTTGTTAATTATCTTTTTTGTTTTTTTTCCTAATATTCTTTGACTGTTCGTTTTATAATATTCTTATTTCAAATATTTTTTTGTCACTTTCTTTTAATTTAAATAAATCTTTTGAAATATGTTCTTACTTAATTTTTTTAAGTTAAAATCTTCTATATAACTTTAATTCTTTTTCAGTGTGATTTGTTTAAATTATTTTTCCTCTTTCTCTAATTAATGAACTTGATTTTTAAGAAATTCATGTGTTTTAAAGCGGAATCCAATTTACAAAGTTATTTCCACGTGCATGACACGTGGCTCAACTAGTCCTCACAAAATGTCTCCTTAATGAGACGTGTTTAGAATTTTGTTGCTTCTAATAACTGACCAAATTAGAGAAACCAAATTTGCTTCATCGAAATTGTTTCGTCGGGGTACTAGCAAGGATGCCATAGTAATCTAGAAGATTATGACTAGTAATCTACCTGACTATGTTGCTGAAATCGACAAAGTCACCAATAGAATCATGCGCTGGTCGCATGGAATATTCTGACATATTAACACTATCAATCTTATAGATTTCAACATCAAATTACCAAACAAATACAACGACTAGTTCTTTTTGACTTCTCATCGCTGTTTTACTATTCAAGTTAACCAGTGTTCCACAAACACCTTGAAGCTTTAGTTTTGAACTTATTATATGTGGGCTTTTTATAGTTTAAATTGCCGTTTAGTAGTGTAAGAATTAAATAGGAAATAAATTTTGAACTAGTGTTTAGTTACATTATTTGAACTAAGGATTTTAAAAATTATATGTAAAAATGGTTGGTAGAACCCTTTAGGTTGAATTTTTAACACTTGAGTTCAACCTTCAATTTTGGGTTGAAATGTACTGTAAACTCAAATTTAAATTCAAACATGTTATGCAACAAAACAAGAGTTAGAACCAATTTTTGGGTTCAAACCCACCTTAAATCCTCTAACCATGTAGGCTTTAAGCTTTGTTATTGAGGTACTCTTGACAAATACCTCTTAGAAGTGCATGCATGAGTTAGAATTTTTACTATTTACTCTTGATTTATAACCTTTTTAGTCAAATAATTATACTAATAAAAGAGTATTTATCAACAGTAAGAGATAAAGGTCTAAACTCATACACTCTCAATGCTCAATGGTGAATTCTCTAATTTTTTCTTGTTGTTGTGGGGTTGAGACATGCGCGATCAAGTACTATCATTTAAGATGTCTACAGTCCACTATTATAACACTACAACAAAAAAGGTCATTTGCGATGACATTTGTCGTCGCAAATATTTCATTATTTGTGACGACATGTCGTCACAATTAACTCCCGTTAAATAAATTAAGCATGTCGTCGCTAATAAGTTCAATGTCGTCGCAAATAGTTTAGGCGTGCAATTTCCAATGGCGCAGATTTTTGCCGCCAAACGGAATCCATTTTTTGCGACGACTTGTCGTCGCAAATAAGGCCACTCTATTTGCGACAATGTGTTCTCCTTGTCGTCGCAAATAAGCTTGACCATTAGAATGATTATTTGCGACGACAATATGTCGTCGTAAATAATTTCAGATGTTGGGAATTTGCGACAGCATTTTTCATTTATTTGCGACAACAATGTCGTCGCAAATAATTTCAGATGTGGGGTATTTGCGACGGCATTTTAAATTTATTTGTGACGACAATGTCGTCGCAAATAAGTCTGATCTATTATACCCTAACTTCTTCCTTTTCATTTTTCCCCGATTTCACTCTCTCTCTCTCTAAACAATCTCTGCCTCTTCTTCTCCTCACCGCCGCCGCCGCCACCCGCCGCCTCTACCGTCCTCCGTTCTCTCTCTCTATTCCATTCTCTCTCTCTCTCCTCTTCTCTCTCTTTTCAGCTTTCTCTCTCTTCCCTTTTCTCTCTCTCTCTCTTCCGCTCCCCCTCCCTCTTGTTCTCATCTCCGATCGCTCGTCTTGCCGCCCCGCTCCCGCCGGCAAGCT